TAAATCGAGCGATGCTAGCGTTCCTGTGCATCCCTATTTCATAAATGCACCGAAGTGCGCCGATTAAAACGCTCGCTGTTTTCACTTTCCTCAGAGCGGATCACGAATCTGCACTAAATATCCTGACAGAGTAAAAGCATTACGAATTTATATCCCGTAATCGGTGCTCGATTATGAATTTCAATGGGAACTTTTTACTCGAAAAGACTAAGTATAATAACGTTTCGATTTCGTTACAAACGCGGTCCGAGACGCTGGCCGAAAATTCGTAATATCTACTTTTTCGACGGGTTAAACGCGCGGTTGATGTCATTTTAGTTACCATTTGGACTGCTCGTAAATGCGAAAAACGTGTCTGCGCATAAAGAGAAAAGAAAAGCGTAGTATACGTTAATAATTTGTGGAAAGATGTAAGCCGTTTAATCGAATACGGCAGAGTAGCGTTCGTTGAACGATACTCGAGCAACGTATTCGACAAAGTTGCGAACGCGTTATGTGCGTATGCGTGTATGCGGAAGAAAATCCGACGAAATTTGAAATTTACATGGAAATGAAAAGTGGCCGGTAGTTGGAACGATTCAAATATGTTCTTTTTCTTTTGGCGTGACTCGAGAGCGGGCTTATCGATCGGGGCGTAAATCGAAAAAGAGCGAAACGATGTGGTTAAAAGGAAGGAAGGTTAGAATCGGCTAGAGAGGAAATTAAAAGAGAGAGAAATTTCTATGGCGCGCTACGACCAGCAAGGAGTAATTTTCAATCGGAATTTATCGGTGCGACGCGACGCTGGCATACCGGCGCGATGTGGCGCTGAAAAAAAAAAAGGGGGGATACAAAAGCCACCGCAATTACTGCTTCCGCTTTGTCCGTCCTGCCGGAAGTCCTATTCATACTCGTCGCTATGAGCGCCGTTACTTCCGTCATTGTAGTTACGGACCTACGACCGATCGTAAATCATTCTCTTTCTGGTCTTTCCTCTTACGATTAGCCTTCCGTTGTAAAACAGTGGAAACGGAGTTTTACGCGACGCGTCATCCGACAATTAAGCGTCGATCGAAGTAACGATTAATATCGTAAAATCGTAGAGGGGCAAGAAATAACAAATCGATCGGCTTTCAGCAAGAGGAAAGCAACGTCGCGCAAAATGCGTTGTCGACAATGTTCCTCGATGTTCCGAATCTTACGATGGATACGACCGAGTCTCGCGATAGTCAGCCTCGACGTCCAACATCCAACTTGTGATGGATTGCGTTCGCAAAGACTTTGAAGTTGCGACGGCTGCCTCGAACGCGATAGATCTAGATCATAAGGTATCCCCTTATGGATGCAAGATGGTCTACCTGGACTGTAATCGAGTTTGAAGATGATGTAGTCCCGTGAAAGATCGCCTCCGAACATCTGTTTACGAAACAAAAGGTAGTACGTCCTTTTGCCTCGTCTTCGGCTCGACATCTCGTATCGTACATGCGAGTCTTGCCAGCGTAAAATGATCGATTGCTTTCCATTCGTTCGAACTTAACGCCGAGGGAGCAAGAATTGCGTTTGCGAAAATCGCGTTTCGCAAACAGCTGCAAGATTTCAAACCGCGAAGAAAGCGGCGTAAGGAAAAGTTACGATAACGCGAGTAAAGAAGAATCGAACAACGACGATCGTTATTATTCTTGGAAAGGCGATTCGAGGCAGATTCGTTGGGTCGCGTCGCGTAGCGTCGCGTCGCGTCGGCAGGGGTGCGGTTACAAGCGCGGAGAAACGCTCGGAAATTGTTAAAGACCGTTTCGAACCGCGGCCACTCGGCCGTTTACGCCAGCTTCTTTCGACGATGCAATTTCCTGTTCGCTCGCCGTACGCCAACCCTACTGTTATCGATTAAAGGCGAGGAGCCCTCCGGACACCACACCGTTCCGAGGCCATGCCTCACCGGTCGTCTAGAAAATGATGTTTTTCGCCTGCGTGAAGGCCCTTTAAGATCATCGTCGTTATTACGACTCGCGTAACTTATACGAAGAGAAAGAAGTGGTTTGCGGTTGATGTGTGCGTATCTGTCGCAGAGGGATGACATTTTCTGCAGGTATTCTCGAGTATTACAAATCGCGGATATAAATGAAAGACTTTAGCGATCGCACGTACGAACGGCGCGTGTAGCATGGCTGAATAATCGTAATACGCGGAGTTTCGTCGTTGGTCTCGCGTTCGCAAGCTGCGATAAAGAGAAAAAGGAAAAGAAGCAGAACCGCGCGAGCGGTAGCGACGCGTAGCCGCCTGACTCGGGTCAACTCGATCTTTAAGTTGCTTTATTAATAAGGGGGTGACGTACCCGGCGTTGGGGCACCGCTGTTATTAACCCTTTTCACCGGACTTGTCTCGCCCGCAAATTGACAGGTTGCAACCTTACGCGAGGAGCCAGGATCGTGTTACGCCACTAACTTACGAACGCGTACACGTTGCCTGTCTCGATGTATCATGCTCGTGCCGTTTGCCACGGCAATCTTCTTCCTTTCGGCGAAACACGCCTCCCACCTTTTTATCCGTTATCGATGAAAATCAGAAAAATCTTTGTCTTCGCTAACGTCTCGTCCGATTATATCGGATTCTTTGTCGTTTCTTCTTTTTCCAACGTAGTACGCGAGATGCTCTTTTACAGTATATTAACGCTATGACGTTCGATAGCCGGTATTTTCTTCTCGAAATAAATGGGTTTACGTTCGACACGCGACGAAGCTTTGTAAGTAACGAAAGAATAAAATGTCAGAGATGTTCGAATCTTTTCTTGCTAAATTGAAAAGCTGGCATTCGTATTAATAGAATAAATCGATGTTGTAAAACCTGCATTCGCGTTCAACGTATACGTAACGTTTGCGCGAAAGAACAAAGCTCCGCAGGACGATGTTTCTAATTGACAAACTCCAACGACGGTTGTTCCTTGCGAAAGACGATATTGGCTGCAAACAGGATAACGTAACGAGAATGATAACTCCGTCGAGCAACTTTATATTATTATATGTTACAACTTATAGAGCTGGGACCAGAAAGCGAGAAAATACGGAACGTAATTTGGGTGAATTATCGGTTTGGCTCTTTCATTAAGTCCATTCTTAAGTCTTTTCTAGGTTTCCGCGTTCGAGAAAATTCTTCCATACTCTCCCATGCTTATGGAATAGTCCGCGACATCGATCGAGTAATTTTTACCTTAAGCTTTTTAAACGGAGCAAAATTTAGACAAACGTGCGAACAAACGAAGAGTCGGTTAAAATTAATGGTCGGAAACGACGCGGTACGCGGATTACACGACAACCAGTAGGGTATAGGCATATAGAGCGTATAGGTATGTTAAATTCGACGAAAGATCGTGACAGCGATTAACGTCTCTTCTCGAGCGAATGAATTCACGACCGCGCGCTATCGATAGAGAATCGAGAGGTGGTTGCTGAACGTAAGGAGAAAATAAAAGAGACGAACGAGGTTTTACGAACGGACGGTGGGCTGGCGCAACGACGCACCTGATGGCTCAGTGACCGTTGGCGCGTGCCAGCAACCGGCTGCTGCCAGCTGCGATCAAACTACCACTCGCTGCATTTCGTTCGTCGCTGCATTTTCGTTATAAGCGATCATCTTCGCTCCTTCCGTCTCCATTGATTTCAAATGGCGCGGACGTGCCACGCGAACGCGCTGCTAGAAATCGATAGAAATCAATCGCGATTCTTTTCTCATTTTGGCGATCTATCTTATTAACTTAACGATATCAAAAGGGAACGTTAAATCGATTTGGAATAAACCGAATCAAGTATTTGGCTGAAATTATTATTATTACGTATTTGAATTTTATTTTTAAAAGGAATTTCACTTCACCACTGATGCTGGACCGCGCACCGCGTCGATCTATTTTCTATAAAGTGTTTCAGAAATTCAGATCGGGCATTATTTCTTAGATATTGTTAGCTTATTTCTAAGAGATAAATTTTAACGCAGTTTCCTTTCTTCGATTTATCGAAACGAAACACGCTTTCAATTAGTACGAATATTTTATTTTTCATAGCTGACAGGCGTTTCACCGAAATCTGTGTCCCTTTAAACGAAATATCCGCACACTTAGCGAGTATCGATGCGGCTCGATTCGTCAACGACGTATTACGCTTTTATCTGAATTACCAGTTACGTTACGAAGGGAAAATAATATGGATCTGCCATTCGCTTGGGTTGTCGAAAAACAGAGAACGTTCTTTAGGATCGTTATTCGCGCGTGAAAAGAAACGAAACTCGCGTCGGACAGTCGTCGAACGTGTCAGAAAAAGGGTTGCACGTAACAAGGGCGAAGCTGAAGCCACGAGAAACCCTAATTTGCGCGTTGACCGAACGAGTTTTCTGGTATATCTCGATAGCGGTTTCAGGCGCAACGAAAGAAAGGCGCAAGGTGTTGGCCCAGTCAGGTGGCTTTATCCTTTGGCACCTGTTCTCCCGAGCTATACGGTACATTTAGAACAAAGCGATTACCGAGCCTGAGGTCTACTCGCTCGAATATAAAAGTCTATACTACTACCGAATAGCTTTGTTAATTCTAATCGACGTAATCACGAAACAGTGGTATGATAGTACGCAAGTATGGAAGAGCAGCAGTAGTAAAACTCGTATTTCAAGTTTCCCGATAGACGGATACGTCGAGCTGTAACAAATTACTTTTGCCCTTCTAGCTTTTTCCCTTTTTCCTTTTTTAATATGCTTCCTGAAGAATATCGATACGATTTAAGCACGAAATTTCCAAATAATTAGAAATTTCGCTACATCCGTCGTTCCGTTACAGATCTTTTCGAAACCGGTTTGCATAACGGTTTCTCGAGTGTCTCTCCCTTTTATATCCATTGGCCGCGTCTTCTAAAACGAGATCGCTGCTCGATCGATCGAAAATCTAGAAAATTAGAAAAATGTGGCTATCTCTTATGTAAAGTCGATACAAGCTTTCGATGTACATCGAATTGCCTCTGAGCGAAACGCATCTGCCCTTGTTCCAGGTGAGCGAAGCCAGGCCGCACATCAGGCATCAGAAAGACGGGAGCCATTGTAGCAGATGCGGTCCAGGCTGGGGCGCCGTGAACCATTGCGTCCGTGGCCATGACACCGAATGCGGCAAATGTGCACCAGGCACCTACAGCCCCCACCACAGCACCCAGCCCTGCTGGATCTGTTCTAGGTGCGGTCCAGGCCTGTACGAGGCGCATCCTTGCACTTCCAAAACGGATACCGTCTGCGATTCCTGTCACAGGCCTGCCCCGGATAATCTCGACTATCGAAACAAGTGTAAAGGTCGAACGAATTTGTTTCTCGCACCGGAGGACGCGTTCGACACTGCGGAGCAGAGTATCTTGGTGAACGAACCCGATGGACGGGATCTGTTGGCTGACGGAGACAAAGTGCTGGAGAAAGACGCCGAGGCGGCCATTATCAACGGAGAATTTAATTTTTTGGAAAGGTTCTAGGACTGGAATCGTTTAGTACAGTTGCCGCTACTTTGTTTCCATTTTTAAGAAAACGCTTTCTAAAGATATTACCGCGTTCCGGTTAATCCGAACGAAAGAATCGCCCGTTACCGTTAAGTTTTAGTCATCGATGATCCGCCATTCTCTTCTTCTAAAAGTAGTAGACAAAAATTCTACTTTCTAAGACTCGGCGATCTTCCAACATTCCGCGACAACTATATCTTGACGAACCGTGAAGGAGGCGCTTTCGTTTCCTCATATCCTTTGAAACGTTCCTACGGTTCTACAAGATCCTGTTCGGACGAGTAGATCGGGATCGGAGATCGAGAGGAAGCTTTCTCCTGGGATATCGGGTTTCCTTGAATCGTCCGGGGAAAATTGCAAGATCCAGCTGTGTGGAATACCACCGAATACTCTTCGTAGAAATTCATAAGACGAAGTGAGGACGATTAAGAAAGTTTTCGGCTTCGAATAGAAGCGGAAGATCGTGGATTAAGACTCGTTAGCCCCGTCGAGTTCGTTTGCAAGCTTTAAGACTGTGGATCAGATTGAAGGATTTTAAAATCGCTGATCGAATTTAAAATGTTCATCGAGAGAAAGATTGAATTATTAGAACACGTTATTATTCAAATGATCGATATCTGCGCTTTAAGTTGAGGCTCGACTGGTTAACGTCTACTACTTGTCAACGCTGGTGCTCGTTTTTTTTTTTTCTTTTCAATTTTCCTATTACGTACCTTTTTCTTGTATATTTTAATAGTATGTATAAATATTCGAGAAGGAATTGGTCGGCTTAGATCGATCCCTCGTTGCTAGTCAGTTAACCACTAAGTAGTCTGATAAGAGGTATCATATGGAATCGACACGAGGTAATATTTAAACAGCGGTGTATACCGTACGCGTATGCCGTCATAGTTCGACTCTAAACGTAATATATAACGGCACGTCATCTTCCACCGAGCGATATATTGCACCTTTGATGTCGACAGCTCGTTAATCATGGTACTCGGAAAGTCCAGTTCATCATGGCGTTCGATCTCTTTCGACAAAATATTTCCGATTGTCTCGTATGGGATACACTATGAGAATTTCGAACGGTAAGACTAGAAAGCTTGCGTTAATTTTGAAACGACGTCTAATCGGTTACGTTAGTTTGCCAATTAATGCTAATAAATACGAGATACTTAGATGGTACTTAGATGCGATTCTCTAGAGTATCTTTGATGAATATTCGGCATTTGCTCGAACCTAACGAGACAATCGTTTTAGCACGTTCTAAGTGTAGATTCCTGTATGATATAATATATTATAAGCATATTTATATGTATATACCCAAAGATCTCCTTCATATCGTCTGCATATACGCAAATTCTCTCTGCAGAATTCTTTCATTCGAAGAAGCTAAACATTCTTTCTCTTTCTTCTTTCGTGATTATTTAGAAAGCTGCCACCGTCTTGGATTTCGTCGATATTTTTGATACGTTGCCTATAACGTTAATACGTCGAGAACGACTTTTTCCTTTACGCGTAACCGACGCTCGGTCTTAGTTTCCATGATATTCGCAAAAAGAACCATCGGTACTACTACGGTGAATTCTACCTGTAATCGTACGTAAACGTACGCGTTAGTATTGGTTACCGTATAAACCTAATCCAAACCCAATTCTTATCTTTTGTTTACAACTTATATAGGTTTGCTGGATTAGGTGTCGTTCTATTCGGCAACCAATACCAACGTGCGTATGCTGTCGCTTACTTACGAATATCGGTACCGACAGTTTCTTACGAATTTCTCAAATACTAAAAGATACGCGCCAGTAAACGCGTAAAGGAAAAAGTTGTTCGAAATGTTCACTTCTACGATATATCGAGAAAATCATCGAAATCCAACGTGTCGGCAGCTTTCTAAATAATTGCCGAAAATTTGTATATCTGCGTATCTCTAAATTTTCGAACGACACTATGTGTCGAGAATTAGTATTCGAGAAATTGCGAAGATCTCTTTAGAAAAATACGTTGTTATAGGACGAGCGTATTTCGATGTTACTCGATATGTATACACGCCATTAGATATGGTCCGTGTACGCAAAGCGTGTAAATACATTTCTGTAAATATAGAAACGATGACGGTACGATTCAGTTGCTGTGTTAAAATCTGTTACGACAATGGAAATGAGCATTTCCGTTATTCGCCCAATATTTTGTTTATCGGACTTTTGCGAATGTTACAATTATATTTTTTTCTCCTCCGTTTCTCCGTTGAAACAATTAACGAAACAAAAAAATACTGCAAAAGGTTGCAATGTTCGAATATCGTGCGTGATGCTAATCAATTGCTTTTAGTTTCAACGAGCTGAATGATCGAAAACTCGACTCTTTTAGCGAAATGTTCGCCGCTCGAAATATTTAATATTTATTTGTTATTCGTTTTATCTTGACTATTTTGAGAACTGCATCTACGTGTAGTAGTATCCATATAAAACCGAGATGTTGCGGCAGATTAACATTTTCCTGTGCTGTATAATTCAAAGTCGATTATTCGCGTATATTTCGTTGCCGGGCGACTACAGCAGGCCGAGACGCGTGGATTTTCGCACAGACACTGTCGAATCTCGATCGCGGATGGAAATTCACGAAAGCACCATTATACTTTTTATCTGTTTTATTTATTTACGCCAATGTTCGTTCCTTCGATGGACGTAGCCGCAAGAGACACGTCTACTATATGGACACAATAAAGTACAGACATAATACTCTACGTAAGATCTTTTTTTGTTTTCATACAACCTTCTGCTCTATCATGTTCACGCTCGAAAAACCATATAAAGAGCCTATATAGTGTATACAGGTTTCTTCGATGCTCAAATATACGATTATATGGATATAACCTCGAAGTGAAACTATTGTCGCGTCTTGACGAAGTACATAACATTTCGTATCAGGTATTATACGATTCGTCAAATATTAATCGTTATCATTTGAATTATTTATGCACGATGCGCTACGATGTATATATACACGATAATCATACGATCGGAGAAAAATGAAAATAATTACTCGCGAGATGCTACAATACATGGGTCATATACATATGTGCTGTTCGACGATAGCTTTATTCTCTATTCGCTTTTATCCGTAAAGGTGATAATTTCGATTTGCATTGAAAACGATACGTCGTTACTTGGTATTAGCAATTACAAATACTCGAGAATCTCGAACGATAACAGTAGTTTCACCGTAAAGCCGAAATTCGAATATTCAACGTTTCAGGTTAGATACTAACTTCGCTCGATGTTGTGTTATTTCACTGCTACCGTGTTATATTAACATGATTCTAAGTCTTACATCATACATCTACGGATCTTAGAAAAATGTTATTCGTTTTATTTACTTTCTCCCGTAAAGATGATCTCAGTCAATCGGTAGCAATGGGGAACGTTTGCATTGTGGATCGTATCGTAGTTTACAATTTACGCGAAGGAAATCTAGACAAGTTTGGTTACCTTGCAACAAGTTTGTTCGTGTGATCAAGAATCATTACATCGATGACGATGTCGGTAATATAATGCTCTATAAATGAAATGTGAAACAACGTCGTTATATTCTCGTGCGGTAAAATCTACCTATAAAAATAACTTACTGTAAAATATGCTGCAATGGGATCAATACGAGTACAAATAAAACATTCCTCGCATCGATTCAACTATGTTAATTATTTGTAATAATCAAGATAATCTCAACTATATGTCCTCTAGCCTTCTAAGGAACTTTGAAAATACATAGAAAATGTCCACTGTTCAGCTACTTGTTGTCTTGTCAGATCTGTTGTGTCCTTTGATCGTGACGATTCTCAACGCTATGCTGAACGGTATATACAACGAAATTTTTGTAACTTATATCAACGTAACATACGTACACACTTTCTTGCGGCAAACGAGTGATTTGTGTTTTATTTTTCGCAATCCATACTTGACATATCACCGAACAATTCTTACGTAAAAAACGTGAAAAACGAGAAACGAATCGGTTTTATCGCTAAAAACACACTGTAACGCGGAACCACGTGTTCCAGGACGTTCTTCGAGTTAGGCATAAAGATAAATCGCGAACGCAACAATTCACGGAACATCGTCGAGTAAGTTTATAACGCTCTCTAAATAGTCGTATGATTTGTTCATTGACATAATGTGGACCCCGTAGAAATTGTCGTACTTTCAAATCGAAGAATAAAGCGTTACTTTTCTTTTATTTTTTATTTTTTTTTGGCACGATGCTTGAAAGCTTCGAACGCTAAGCCAAGCCTGCGAGATATCTCGATTTCTACGCTGCGAAAACTACGAACGAAAATATTCAAATGCAATTTAGTAAACGTTGAAAGGATATTCGAATTGTCGCGCACTCCAGGATAGACAACGTACGCAAGTACGTTCACACGATTCAATTTGAACAATTTTTCAGCAAAATCCTGTTTGCCACGTTCGTTGTACTCTTCAAACGAGTTATTCTTCGTCCTTTTTCTTTTCCAAATGGACGAAGTAAATGATCGAAGAAATTTTTATTTATAATCCACAGATAAATCTAAAACATAATTTTTTTTTTAGCTTTTCAATATTCAAAAATTCCACAAATCGTAATTCAAGCTAAGCTTATACCATCGATATAATTGTATTTCCCGAAAGATCGAATTGAAATTTTCTCACTGACATTTTATCGATTCCTCGATCATTTCCTACCATAATTTGAATAATAAAACGAAGCTACGTTCGAGTTAAACGCGAGCGACATTACTACCAATGCCAATCAAATAATCGAGAGAGCACACTTATACGTGATTACGTATATATGTATGTATAGTTTAATAGCATAAATCAATAGCATTTTACAAACGTACATGTAAGTAGAGCTAAACAATACAAAACGATATTGGCAAAAAGATCACAAAAGGCTCATCTCATAAAGTGTATCTTACTGTCGTCGACGGAAAATTAAATAAACGCAATTGTTAAATAACTTGAGAATTTTACAGTTTTCCTCGTGTAAAGATCAAATGTAGAAATCTCATTTTATCAACAAAATATCATATCAATTGAGATTGATCGGTGATCGAACATTCGTAATCGTGTGAACAATTCCTGTATTCGTACTTTGTGCCGTGCGCGTCGATCTATGCTTATCCTAAAGTAAACAACGACAAACGAAGGACCAACATTTTCGATGGCTTAACGAATTATGATTTATAAATGCGATTATTATATCTTTTTCTTTTATACATGCATCAAATACTAATAAATAATTTCTATCAAAATTTTCAACGAACAAGATTATGTACCTTCGCAACCATATGCAGTGCACATACTCGCGTACAAAATTTCTGATACAGGTTCGAAAATCGATAGTTATAGTGCAACAAGATATTGTCGGTAGATTGTTAGTTAATTTCTTCTAATTATATTTGACTTTATTTAGAAAATTCATTCGCATATTAAAAGCCTTTCGTTAGGCCATCGATGTCTACTTAGTCTACGCTTTTTGCATACCACGGCCATAAATAAATAAAAGGAGCACGGATTATACAACGGAAGGGAGACGGATCTACAAATACGGAAAGATACACTATACATTTATGCTAGTTCCGGTATGTACTGAACGAAGCAGTTTTCCGAAGCTCATGAGCAACGGTAACATCGATCAACTTCATAGTGTACACACGTTGCATCTGTGCTGAATGGTTTTGGTTCGATTCGAGCGGTCGATTGCAAACCCGCTAGTAACTTGTGACTGCGTTTTCTCCTACAACCGAACTCCTACATTAAATCTATACACGGGAAGCAAAAAGTAACGAGACAGATGTTCGATTTATCGGAATAAATCTCTGCAGCGTTGTAACAAACGCGTTCCATTAATACGTATGTCACGATCGCCATTCGATCAGGACACCGCAACGTAATAATACAACAATCGTGTGTCACCGCACACATCTCAATATAATTCGTAATATATATATATATATATGTATATATACATACTTATAAGTATATAAATATATATAAATATAGATATATGTATATATATATATAAGTATATATATATATATATATGATTATGTGTATTTTATTTATATGATATATGCATCCACGCGTGTGTATATATATATATAATATATATACGAATCATTTGTATTTCATTTTAATCGGATGAACATGATTCACACTTCTGCGAAGATAAACACTCTGATGCGTGTAAAATGGTGGTGTTGTCATATGAACCTCGTTTAAATCGTTTTTAAATATGAATCATCTCTCAACAAATCCATGACTGGGCGATTATTCTATTATCAATCGATTAATAATTATATGCACGTCATTTATTCGTTCGTAAGATTGTTTCGTATTTAAAGATCGAAAATATCTAAGATGTATTTTGTGTCACAGATTTATATGTACAAAACCGAATAAAACCGATGCAAGAATGTCAGGAACTATGAAACGAAGGACTTGATTTGAACTTATGCAACTTATAAAGAAACTCGATCCTGCTCTCTTCTTCTGCGACTTTCTCTCTTCCATATTTGAGAAGCGACGCACAATTTAAAAAATAGGTTTTCGAAATTTAAATATAAAGTATTTCTACATACGTACTATATGTACGAATTTTCCTTTATATTATCTTATGTAAGGAATGTGTTCGTTTCTTATAATTCTTATATAATGTATGTATTATGTTATCGTGTTATCCTAAATAAAAACAAAATGCAAATTTCGCTACTTGCTCGTAAAATTCTCTTAGATACATATATATGTGTTTTCTATGCAATTATTTTATTGCTGGACACGGTATATATATTTTCAATGTACCGCGTTTTTAAATTAAACACTATAGTACAGTAAAACAATAATTCGTAGTAAGGTTACGACAAAAAAGAGTTTGAATTAAAAAAAAAAACAAGCATCTTTCGAGCGAAGTGTCGAATTAAATGAAAAAAAATTGGGCGTTAAATAAAAAAATTTATTTTTTCTATCTAACGTTTCCCGTTTCATTTGATTCATAAATATTCATCAAACGCTTGTGTAACTTCGACGTGAAACGTATGCATATATTAGGAACACGTTCTTCAGGATGCAAGCGTTCTTTGAACTTACATTTTTACGGCTAACTAGATCTATGATACATTGTTATCCGACTTCCATAAATTTTTAGGATATACTCTTTCTCATGCTTAACAGCGATTAAAGTTGAGATGAAACATTGATAGCACTGCATCCTTAGAAACGCGTTCTATATACAGATCTTTTGATAGGTCATGCTAGAGTTTTCGATTCATGCTAGTACGTACGTAACACACAGTCAGAAACGATAAAGGGGAATCACAGGTGGAGCAAGGAGAAAGCTTTCGAATATAAATTTATGCTATATACGAACATAAAAAAAATATACATCTCGTGTTCGCATGATAAAGAAATATATATATATATATAAATGAGATGGCAGGAAGGAACGATATTACAAGATCGTTATGCCTGCAACTACAGATTCTGTGTGTCTCGTGCAATGACTCCCTGTCATTGGCACATTTAATTAATGAATTTTTTTATATACAATTTAATTAGAGCTTTACAATTTCCATAACAGACAGAGTAATCGTGAAGCATATGATGCCAATGCTAACACGGTTTAAACGTCACAGCTGCTCTATTTTCATATTTATTTATTTGTTTGTTTGTTTTTTCTCCATTATCACTCGCAAAACATAATAATCTCCAACGTATTCGTAAATATCATCTGTACAAGATATACTACTGAAATATACATCTCACACAAGATTCGTTAAAAATGATTAGAAAAGTTCTTCTAGTGATTATTGTTTCACTTCTTCTTTTTCTTGTTCGTTTACTTCTCAATGAATTTAATTGCTCTTCTCTGTCAGCCGAAAAATAAAACCAGCCATGGATTTTATACGTCAACGTATGAGGTACAGAAAACCAAGGAAGGGCCAGAGAACAAGCGGAGCAGAGGTAAGGGAATCGGGATGGGATCGATCATCTCGAATCTACTAATTACAAAAGAAATTTTGAGCTCCGTAAAATACAAGGAAAAGTCTACGATAGAGAACTAATATCATACAACTACTGTCATCGTGTCCAAATCTACTCTCGCTCGCGCAACAATAATAATCTCAAAAAAAGAAACGAAAATCGGCACGAAAAAGATCGTACATACAAAAAGGGAAGCTAAAGGTATAGATGAGAATGCGCCACGAGCATACAAATTCAATAGTACGGGCTAATAAATATAGAATCGCTGTAGCCGACACATTTGCGTGATACAGTAAACTCATTAAAAATACTCATCATCGAAAGGGATAACTATAAACATCATTTATAAAAAATATATGCTAGTAACCTGAACGCTTTGCAGTGTGATTCTTGGCCGTTTCTTTTTTTGCGGATACCCGTGGCATGCATCTACACATTATTGGATAAGTTACAAATTATAACTTCTTATTAAAGCCACATATTAAATTGAAAAAAAAAAAGAAAAAGAAGAAAGAAAAAAGAAATAAAGGTAATATCTGTACTTGTTACCTTCATTCATGGACCAATATTGTCCATTATAGTCATCGTATGTCGCACAGCTTTTTTGCTTTCTTTTTTTCTTTTTTTCTTTTTTTTTTTGTTTCTTTTTCATGTACACAATTCGCCTTTATCGTATTTTTAGCAATCCTATGCTTTGTTCGTAGGATTATACGTGGTAACAATGTTTCGCCTACACAAGAGTTCAGTTCTCGTGACCGCGTTGCGAGTGTAAGCTTGCGTACAACAAATATGTCTTAACAAATAATCATCAATATCTTTTGAACGTCGAGAGACGACATCCTTCGGTGATCACGATATGTCTTCCCACGGCGTTTTAACATATCTTAAATTAGCTTCACGCCTGCTAGGCCATCTAAAATTGGTCCACCAGCAGGTCACAGATCTCTACCGACATCGATTCCTTACTCGAACGTACTGTCAAACGGAACATCTACAAGATGACATTAACAACTGGCTCACCGAATTCCTGGTTTAAGAGATCCAATATTTAAGGAGCTTTGAAAGTTACCTGCGCTTGTTTATTAGGTTCTAAACGTAAGAGACATCCTACTTGTTGTGCCCTCATATGTACTATTCCTGCACAGACAAAATTATCAGGATTCGGATCGATACCATCCAGTAATTGCATTCCAAATCCTTGCAGTTTCGTGCGCACTTGCGCAAGATCCATCGGCTGTTGTGCTTTAAAAATTTTCTGTGAACGTTGTTGATTGGCTCTAAAAGTGTAAGTTGATTATATAATATTATTTCAACGTATTGCTGAACGAAATAACTTTTATTTGAATAGTAAAAATATGTCAAACAGTTTCTAAAATTATTTGACTACGTACTTTGATGACTTTTGTCATATTTAATAAATTAATAAATTTTAATGTAATAGTTAAAAGAAATAACAACCAAAATGACGATAGTAAAGTATTTATTACGATGAGTTACATACCCTCCAAGATTTTTCCACCGTGCAAAGAATGATTCTCCATTCATTTCTGTAGGCTCGAAGAATTTGTTGATCGTTAATGGTAACTTCATTGTTATCTTTTGTGGCACATTATTATAAATAAAGGAAATGATCATGCTTGGTGCATCTATAATATAGGAAAGAGAAAATTTAAGACCGTTTTCAAACAATATAAAAGTGAATAACATCAGTTTGATGGCATCTGTTTTAGAATGTTATGTAGCTTAACGTACCACTGTAGTCGTCGATACACTCTGCATTAATCATTTGTTGTATTTGAGCACCAGCTTCTAGCACGGGATCGACGGGCTTTACTTGTACAGCTAATTTTTGTTGATTTTCCTCGGGCCAAGATAGTTGAGGTTGAAAGCTGTGAAGAGCGTACTGAGTTTTGTTTCCGTAAAAAAGACCGACACGTCCCAAGTTTTGTCTGAATTCTGACTTTACTCCGATTTGAATTAAGTCATTTTCAAACAATACGCCGTTATTCTTGCACACGAATCTGTAAGGCATAGCATCATAAGGCACTTTAAAGTCTAGTACCTTCTCGAAAATTTCTCTTGATTAAATATTTTCTACATCGACATACTTTTTGGGATTATACGTGTTTTGGGCACCATTAGTAGCAACTTTGTTTGGCATATTATAAATATCACCTAGTACATCAAGTAAAACTCCTGTATTGCTAGTTGGTTGAGAAGACGGCGGTGTAGAAAGACTTAATAAATCTGCCGATGTATTATTAACAGTTCCTGTGGCACTGGCGGGCGCTTCCGCGTGATGATTAGCATTTGGTGCAGGACTTTTACTTTCTCTAATCTCATTCTCGGGAACTCGTCCTGGCTTTTTCCTTTTCAAAACGGCGAGAATAGAAGATTCTCTTTCTGGGAATGCTGGCATTTCTTCTAATACTGTAGCCTATAAGGAGAATTATAAATATTCACCAACATTTGCTGCAATCACATATACTTTCATATCGTATACAATTATAAATATCGCCGTTCCAGTGTAATAAAAATCTACTATTAAACATATCTAATCTCTCCATTATGAAAGTTTCGTAATTTTCCAAACATTCTTAGCCAATGGATGGCAGTAACGTAGTTATTGAAATATTTGTTTTTGTCTATCGCACTTCGTAGCAGTAATGATGTATTAGTTGCGTCGCAGACATACTTAAAAGTAACTAGAGAATGCAAACAATATTGTTTATCGCAACATTATGAAACATTCGCTTCGTTATTTAATTACAAATTTTATTATATGAAATCGATTTTCTTCATTAACTGAAAAATAATCTTTTTACAGTTGCGTCAATGTTGTACTGGAACAGCGATACGCTAATTAATTTGAATTGGACTTATTATTTACCAAAACATCGCTGGAGGCGATAATGCTTAGCTGAAGATACTCTGAAGCTCTTTGTTGTAATTCTGCATCTGCGCTGCGTAAGTTACTGTGTTGTCTAAAAACATCTTGAATTTGACTTCTCATTTCAGGAAACAGATTAACAAATTTGATATAGGTTGAAAGTAGCAACGCTCGGGTCATTGGAGAACACAAGTGATACTGAAAAATTAAGCAGAGAAAAGAGAAGAGGAAAAGAAACGGCATTAATATATTAAACATGGAATGTTTAAATATGCAAGAGTTTATAGACCTTACTTTGGAATGTAATAATTGAAATTGAACAGCTGGAGAAGAGCGCTGATCACCAGCAATGAGATTTCCAAACTCCCCAAGTATGTAACCACCAACTTTAACCATATTTTCGTGGCAAGCTGGTGCTTGTAAGGCCTAACAAATATCACATATATTTAATATCTTATTTATAACAAAATATTTAAATGAAAAAGATATATATACAATTGTGCGTTATCTACCTCGAAAACAGTCTTTGCTGCGTATCCTTGCACGTCATCTCTATTGATAACAATCTGGATAACTCTGTACCATACTTCTTCCGAAACATAATCACCAGCTATCCTAATGAGATTTAGAATAACGTCAACATACCAAGTATAATCGGTAGCATATTTTTCGGCTAGAATCGCGACTTTAAGAACCATTTCTTCTCTAATAGAATAGTCAGCAGTTTCGAGGTAGTTTAACATTTCTTGTACTATTTCTTCCGCATTGCTTTTATCACACATAGCATACAGAAGATCAACAGCCTGTTGTCTAACAGATACGTCCTTTTCCATTTTCATAGAAAGAATGACGACTTCTTGATGTTTCTTCACCGCTTCGTGTGAAAGCTCTGATGTAGCCAAATGGCACATGGATTCCAGTGCTAAGTAACGAAGATTAGTTTCACGGTTGGATAGAAACTGACCGAGTTGATTGCACGCTCGAACCGATAAAGGCAGTTCACTGTCGTTATGAATAATTAAACTAATGGCCTCGAATAACACAGCGTTCTTAGCATTCGAGTGCTGCACCTTCTTTGATTTTGGCGGTTCTTGAGCTTTGTTTAATATGGTTTCTAAACATTCATTTAATCTACCCCTTACACCTGGATCTTCAGCTATTAGAAAGTAACAAATACGATGAAATTATTGCTGTGGCTACATTAATATATTATACAATTTGAACAAAAATGATTTACCAGGTGGGGTGTAATTCTGTAGTAATCGTAAAAGTTTAACAGAGAGCCATGGTGCTGGCACAAAGTAATACGTATAATCCTGTAGGTCTGTGTAGCTCGATGTCACGATCTATTGAGGTAGAGTAAAAATAAACAAACTAACATCTAACCATTGACTGGATTAACAAGCTGTGCCATACCCTGCTCAATCTTGAAACTGCCAAACTAACGCATCCTTTGTATTCGTCCGGATTTCTTTTTACAAGAGCATCTATTAAAGATGCAGCTGCGGTAACAACACCGAGATGTTGGTCATTTAAAAGGTGAACTATGCGCGAGGTCCATTCTCCACCAGGAACAACATCCGGTGCAGTACGCAATAACCGTAATAAACACAATGCCGCACTTTGTTTCACAACATCCATAGTATCTCTAAAATAAAAAATTATTTATAATTATTTTTCCTTTCTTTGAATAAATTGTAAAGGAGCATGAAATATTAATTACTTTAGCTACATACCCGGAAACGAGTAGTTTTGGTATTTCATTGCCAAATGCCTCTGCCATTTCTTTACTACCAATATTAGCAATACATTGCAATGCAAGGTTTACATGAATGGGATTTCGTGATGCAAGATCATTCTTTATACTTTGAATTATTAATTTAATGAGATCACTGTTTGTATTTACTAAAACTGATATGAAAAGGTAGCCCTAAAATTGGTGGTAATAGTTGCATAAAATTAAACTTCAGCATCGACATAATTTATGTGTGCATTATCTGTTTCAATAGATCTTAACGCTTACAATTTGTTTTTCTGAATATTTGTTAGACGAAAGTAGATTAACAGCCTCCATATGTCCAAAGTCAATGTCATGACCAAGCAAGAAAATAAAAAGGAGCTTGCAAACATATTTCTTTTTTTGATAACCGTCAAGTGTCTTATCTCCTTTAAATTTACTACGAATATTTGCCAACTCTTTGTTTATTCTTTTTATTTCCGCCTCTTTGCTTTTACCTAATAGGATAAGCAAAACAGAACAAAGTGATTAATAATTTTTTAAGCCTTTTGCAGATTATTTCTGTGAATATGGAATTATTGATGACATGCATTTACACACACACGCGCGCGCGCGCGCGCGCACGTATATAACTATACATTTGTCATTATTTTTATAGAAAACTATAATGGCTGCATGCCACTTGGACTGGCATCAAAGTACAGATGTATTGATTTGTCCTATAAGAGTCAATTTTGTGTCCCTCTTGTTATATAATTATTTATTGCATTATATATAATATAAAGATTATATAGTTAACCCATACGTTAATTTACATTCTATCCATATCTATAAAGATTTCTCAAGGTGGCTGGAAGTGTTAGTTTTAATATTCATTTACTCTATTATGCCAAGTATTACATATGAGTGTCTGGAGCGCAAGCTATATCAGAAAGATACGGCTATATCAGAACTCCGCCCCCTGTCTCCTACTCTTCATTGCCTTAAATACTCTATGTGTCATGTTTGTTTCAATGGCATCATATCTCTTAGTGAAACACGGGTCAAAATCTCAATGATCCAAAAGTTAACGAGTTTTCTTTTTTATCTGATAGCATATAATATACACGAGTGTCTAGTTAGGACTAATGTAAGATGCAAGTTAATACATTTTTTAGAAGTATCATTTAAAGACATATAAGTAACAAGAAAAGTGTTTTAGCTCACAATTTCTAATATCAGAAATGAATACAGCCAGCCCACGCATGCCATCTCCTCTCACAGCCGGCATCTTGTCTTCTTCTATTTAAAACCACCTGTGAAATAAAATACAATGAAAGAAATTTGTACTCATATCCCTGAGAAACGTAATTTTAATTTACAAAATTATGTTAACACGAAAACACATGTTAACATCTATCTACAAGCTATTTTTTATAACAATTAAACATTTCAATTATATAAATGTTTATAAGAAAATATATGCCAGGATGTTTTTTGGATTACAAAGGAATATATGTAGTTATAAAATGGTGTTTAATAAACATAGACAGAGATATGTGATATGAAAATAAATATACAAAAAGATGAATGGAATTCTTCATATCGCTGCTTATGGGATAATTTATGGAAAGTTAATTGTAAACTCGCAAATATGTGTTTTTATTTGACGACATGCAATAGACGCATAGAGGAAGGCCGAAGAAAGTGATTTAAACGATGTTCGTTGATTAAGTGTACTCGAACCAACGAGCCCCTTGGTCTCTTCAAATAACTTTAAAGAAGAATTCCCCATGTTAGATATACGTTCGATGTTAGCGAATGAAACTAGCATATTACATGAACATTGGGAATTGAAAGGGCAAGTTGTGCGAAATAATGCAGCGTCTACTCTGACGCTCGAGAGAAAAATCGAGTGATTAAGCCGGTAACGCGTCCTAGATTCCGACGGCAAACGCTCTTTGACAGCGGTGTGATGGAAACGTTGATAGTGGTTCGCATTACATGAAAACTGCCGACATTATGTTGAAAGATTGTAGCAACATTCGCGAAGGAATCACCGAATAATTCAACGTATATGGATCGAGCAGGCAAAAAGAATATTTGAAAACGGATAAATAGATCGAACGATGGCTTTCTGTCTCCGATGACCTGTCGTACTGATGGCAAATGCAACCAGTGCGACCTATGTTTTCTGAGGAAAAGGTTATCTGCTACGCATCTTCTTGGTTATTGGATCAGTTTTAAGTACATACCAATCTGGGTTAGGGTAACGTTCACGCACAGCTCTGTCACGTAGTACTCGGTAGGCGTGAAACTATTCGCGAGTCGGTGCCAGAGATTTCGTGGCTGTCGCCATTTGCAACCGCTGACTAGCTGACGGCTACCCGTCAAATGCCATTAGGCCTGCGCTTTCGACATTGCGCGGGTAAATTCGTATTTCAAATCTGCTGCTATTTCATCGATCGCTTTTTATATGATTATGTCATTGCTTATAACGTATGAGACAAATTTTAATTGTTGTTATCATATCGTGATCCATTGCATCTTGTTAATATTCGTTTAACAATCGAATATTCGATATTTCAATTTTTACGGTCATTTTGACATTTCTTAGTAATATAGGAGAGAAGATTTTATAAAGTCTAATAACTCTGTACTGTAAATAATAAGATCATACGATAAAAATTTTATTCCAAAATATAATTATAAAATAGTGAGAGGTTTTGGAAACCAAAAAGCTCCTAATGTTCCTTTTATCATGCAATTAATACGTTAAATTGAATTAAACCAGGTCGTCAAACTTTGATTTAATTAAAAGCATATTAAACGAAGTTCATATTACGGGAAGGTATTTATTGAAAATTTGTTTGTTATTGCATGTATATTTCTTAAATAAAAAAATTTATTTACAATGTATCAACTTCAGAGATCATTCACGTCTTTAAAAATGTACGATATCTCCTTATATCATCGTGCCACCTGCTGCTGTATCTTCTCAAGTAACATTTCTATCCTAGCATTCATAACAGGTTGTCCTTTTCTTGTTTTCCTCGAAAGTTGTTTGTACGTTTGCATTCTTTTCTCTTTATACTTTTTCAGCGCTTCCTCTCTTTCAGCTTTCACTCGGCAAGCTTCTTCCTCTTCCCTCCACTGTTCATTCCTTCTATCGAGAAATTCCTGTCTTGCTTTATGAAACGCACTTATCTTTCTCTGATGTTTCCTTCGAACAAACAGGAATTATCTTTGAAAATCAATATGAATTTTGAAGATGTTGCTTATATAAAACGTGAAGATGTTTCCTATATAAAACGTAGTAAGTATACATACTCGTGTTCGTTTTGATCATTAGCTTCGAAAGCGAATTTCTTTAGATTTTGTTGCTGGTCCTTGCCAATTTGCTTGTAAAATTCTCGTACAACAGCTTTCTTCCTGCGTTGCTCCCATTGACTAACTGCAATATATAGTACAATTAAAAAGTGAGAATAATATTCTTAATGATATTTGAACTTAACCTATACGTAAACTAGATTACTCGATAGTCTCACAAACGTACCTTTGTATTTATTACTGTACTTCTGCAGTCTATACTCCTTTTTGTTAAATGGCTGTTTTCCATTCCTTACATATTCTGACTGTTTTTTATTAAAAACATCCTTTACATGGCTCTTCATGATTACGACAAGCTTCACGAGATGCTAATTTAGTTGCGACAGTAGACGCAAGGGGGACTTGAGATCAATTAAGCGGGCGCGTTAACCAACGACAATTCAAAGGGAAATATTTTCCATCGGTACGATGTGTATCGGATAATCATTAGAATGTATTTTCTTGAGGAAAACAGGCTGTTACTTTACCTTCATTCGTAAACGTTCGTGCACTATCGTTATGCACATAAATACGTGTTATACTATTGAGTAATATCGTTTAATATGTCGACAGAAGATAAATGCAAAGTTGGATAGGTGTTGGTGACTTAAAATAAACTTCTATTCATGGTTAAAGTAAAAATATACCAAGGAGTAATAAAGTCGTATTTATATTTCTTACAGACTTATTTACATTGTCACTGTTTAGTAGATACAGCTGAATGAAATATTAAGATACTTATTTGATTGTCAGTGTCGAAGGTTTCAATGGAAAAATTATAATGCCAGAGTGTACTAAGAAAAGCAAATTACAAAGAAATTACTGTTGCACGATCGACTGAGTATATTACGGGCACTTGTCATCGCATTACATATTGTCAGTTTATTCGTGGCAGTGACATTGGCCAGTGATATGGCTACATTTATTCGCGTGTACTAACATTGTTTTCACGCACGTGTAGCAAAATGAAGGATGACCATCGACCATCGATATCAAATATGACATTGTTAATGCGATCTATATAAATAAACGGTTTAAAGGAAAAAAGAAGTTATCCCCTATGCTACCACGTTTCATTAATAATAGTATTTAGATGTGTGATGTAATGGGTACGTTTGTGCGCAAATACAGAGCGCTGAGAATTTAAGCACTAAAAATTCATTTGAGCTATAGATCGTGTATATAGGAAATACAAACGTGCGTGAATGCTATAAGTAGTTGCAGCCGGATCGTATTGCAAATCCGCGTAGCGCGAGTGTTACAACAAACCGGTTAGGATCATGTTTCACAAGTTTGCAAAGAAATGGTTGAAAATTCGGTGCTATAATATTCATCCTTCCTGATATGGTAATAGGTGGTAAACTCGTCTGGCGTTATTATAATTGTTTTATTCACAATTACCCTTGAAATTTTCTTCCAACTGAAATGGTACATTAGACACGATATTATGTACGTAATATTATTAAACGTTAAATATAATTGAGTGTTTGGTTAGTTATACATACGATGTATCTTGTATAGAATATACAGTATGTCACGTCACACGTGCCGATGATATACACGTGCTACTGAATTATCGCGGAGATTGAAATTGAGGGGACAATCTGGTCGAAGGCTCGGCAATTTTACTGAATAAAAGATGGACACTATGATATCAGAGAGTGACATCATGGCGCGTTAACCTCAGTCCCCATTTGTACTCAAGTCAGTAGTGGCGATGCGAAGTCGTCGTACGACGACACCAGTCAAGTCAACCTCCTCATTCAATCGTTCTAAGTAAGCCAAGTACAAATGACTATTAAGCGCTCATTGCCTGTTTGCTGCCGAAGTATTGAATGAAATTATCTTTTACCATCCCGGTTGTGTTATCGACACCTACTGTCCACTCTAACAAATTATTTGTAATCTAACCGCGCGAGCGTCTCGAACAAAGAACGGTTCTCTCTTTGTTTGCTCGCGTAACATTAATTAACATTAATTAACGTAATGGAACTTTAGTTTATCCTTGCTGTCCTAAAAACTAGGAAATTTACGAGACAAACTATTTTCTAGATGTGTTTATGCAAAATTTAAGATACGTCCGCAGAATCGTTTATCGCTTCTCAAAAGTTTTTCAATCAATTTTTAAAACTTTTGGTTTCCGTTGGCTTCCGTTCTCCGGTTCTTTGTGATATCGGAGGAAATTGGCGCGGAGAAAGTTGAAGAAAATTCGCGCGGTACCCTCGACATTGAATGGTGGAAGAACGACGGTCGAAAGGGTCGAACGATTAAAGAATTCCTTGGATCGAATCTGGCCTCGGATATGGCTCTCTGTCGGACTTTGTCAGCTATTAATAGTCAGCGGTGTCGAAGAGGTGTATGTATAGTATGTACTATCTTTTCTACAACCTCCGTTTAGTTGTTTTCTTCTGCATGCCACGCTACATATAATTGCCTGGCAAGCTGTTTCGTTTCTGTCTCCTTGTCTGGCATAACAATGTAATTATTCAACGAATTGTGTCGCACGAGTAACTCAATTTCGACATAAGCTGGAAGCTTAAGAAATTGGCTCTTTTAAATGCGTGGTAAAAATCGTTTTTCGAAGCAAAGTTACGAGACATGCTCGTTTTCTGTTTTAATCTGTTCTTAGATTCAGATTCTCTAAATATTTTCTATTATTCGAGTAAAAATTCCTCTTCGAAGCGAAAGTAAATAAATTTCATTTAATCGTGGTTAACGTTGTACAGGCTACTGAAACTTTATGACCCTTCTTTCAGGGGATACCAAACGAGTCAGTGTACAATATGTATCTATTATCAATCCAATATATATATATATATATATGAAAATTTCATTTTCTTAGTTCCCCAGTAATCCCTATCCAATACCGTTGCATAACGGATTTGTCCCAAAATGGCGAAATCGAAACGACGCTTCCAACATAATGACCTGAAAAACAAATAAGATCGGGAAGATGGAGCAAGCATTTAAATTCGGTAGAAACAGTTAAGAATAAGATGTTTTCGTCTTGTTGCATCCATTGTCATACCTCGGGATTGAGCAACACGTACAGCGACAACTCGCTACGTAACGAATGGACGTAAGACCAATCCATATTAGCGACGATTGTGACGCGTTTTATCGATCGGTAAAACCTCCACATAGGTGACGTCATGTTAACCACGTTCTCCCACGCAAGACCGACGAGAAACTTAAGAATTCGGCGAACGTCTGAGAGAGAGACACAGACGAAAAGATCGACGATTCGTTCTCTGTAAGAGGAGCCTGAAATATCGTCTGGAGGCTCGAACAATTTGACATTGACACACTTCGTCATCAACATCGGTCTTCTCCGCTCTCTTCTATGTGCTTTTACGTTCTCAGCGCCGTTTAATTTCGTTTACATTTTAACGCTGCTGTTCTACGAACAGATTTCTTTATTTCACGACTATTGCAGAGTAAAAGTCGATCGAAAACTGAAAAGAGATCGTCTTTGTCGATCATCTTGTTCACTCTGCTAAATCATTTTGGAATTTTCGATCTTTGCACGAGGTGGTGCAAAGAGCCAAAGAGATGCCTGTTTGCACGTTCTCTATTTATCTATCTCATTCGCCGGTAATCAAGCCTGGAATTTATAACAAGGAGGAGTAACGGGATTCTTTTATAGGTATGGGGAAATGTTAAAAAATTTTCACGGACGCACGTTCAAATTCAATCGCCAATTTCCTGCGGAGATTATTCATGCACGCGATTCGATACGAACGAGGGTTGTTATTCACCCGGTTTGGTCGAGTAGAGCGTGATTCAGTCCTCCTACGTTGTCGTCCGTAGCTATAGCTACCACGAAAATCAACTGCACTCCTCGTCACTCGTTGGATCTCGAGAAAACATTCCACATAGTTTGATTCATAATAAGATCGTGGACGAGTGCGAAGCCGCAGGCAGCACTATTTATGAACAATAAGAAGGCGTCGTGACGCGTCGGTCCATTCAGTTCAGTGCGTATGACGCGGTGCGACGCGTGAAAATAGCGGTCAGCATCATTTGCCTGCGTGATTTAACTCCATGAAAAGAAATATCACGCAGTTCCACCAGACGTATACAGAAAGTTGCGTAGTAACCGCGGCCTTCGTGCCTCTCTGGTACGCCTGTTCAAATTAGAACACCTGAATGTTCACGCGTGATTAACAAGAATCTAGAAAGAACGAACGATCCGAAACGAAATGCGAATGATCGTCACGAATTCTTTGCGTCAAATTTTATACCTACTTGAGCTATTAATAATAACTAAAAATAATAGCTATTAGAATAGCGAATCAGCGAATTTATACGGATGATTTAAATTTATGTAACGCGAAATGAGTCATAGATACAAAGCGATGCGAGATGGTGTTTTGGCAACTGTTGAGAATAAAGAAGAATTTGTTTCTTATACTCGAATAGGATTTTATACTAGGAAGTCCTTCTGTTCTTACGAAAATGACTGGGAATACTTTGCAATAATTGATAATATCTACAGCAATGTTACTTGCGTTATTTTAGGTACAAAAATTTAGTTCAGACTCTTCGTGAAAGTTGCGTGGCTTTGTTGTAGATAATGGGGAAATAGATATCTCTCTTGCTCCTTAACTTTAAGCGGCCGTGAAATGTAACAAGCTGTAACAATAGATATTCGATGACAAGTGTGCTAAATATGTTCATCGGTAGAATGTCGTTAAGTACAGCTACTGCGTGCAGATCGAGCAAATTTACCAGAAGACAAGACTGCATAACTGGGTCGACATGGTAATCGACGTCCTGACGCTTTTGCAAGCATCGTTGACTTCGGAAAACCTCTTGATGCACCATGTAATTTAATTAGCCAATTAATATCGTGAAAATCGGATGATCCGCGAATATGCCACGTTAACGCGTATAATTTTACGTCCGTGGCATAAATCGTTAAAAGATCAATTCTATAACATTGCAAACGTAATAAATGACATTAAAAAAGTGTTTTTATATAACGACGACGAATCAAAATTTTTTAGAAATTCGATGCCGATAGAAATAAAATCTTCTATGCGGATATACGCATCTCCGATCTAAAGGCAATCAATAAGGAAATGATCGTACGGTCACGTATTAGTCATCGTTTCTCGTATAAAACACACTCGTTGGAGCTATGTGCGAAATCATAACCTATAGACGCCCACCGATTCTTCTTAGATCACATATTTATTCAGAAACTTTGTACGTCGTGTGCACGTATGAATAACTTGCTACCTTACATGCTGGTTTATGTAGGAGATCCTGTTTTACTTGGAAAATATAAAACTTAAAATTCTAGTGTTATATCGTAAAATAGGGCAACCAACCGTCACCTTGTTGCATGCGTGTTAAAGAAAAATTTCGTACAACTTGCTGTTGTATCGATAAGTGCCCAAACGTTGTTTCTTAATAAACGTTTCTTAATAAAAAAATATTTGATACTTTTTAAGGATACTTAATATTTTCTTCGCTCTTTCATTTTATTTATCAAACGTTTACGAATAACGACTAAACGGACTAAATCTTGCGGAATAAATTCAATTCGGGTAATTTATGTTGCAGCGAGGATCAGAAAATTGCTTTAAAATATTCGACGAGCACTTAATTTGTATAATTTGCACTAGCTGAAGAGCGCACCTTTCGCAAAAAAATCCCAAAGCAAAAGAAAATACACGTCGTTCGGATCTTCGTGAAATTTCGTTCCCAGTTTGGACCGCGTGCACGAACCCGAACACCTCCGGAACATACCGAGCGACGACGAACTCCCACGAATAGCCGAGCGATTGCGTCGCGACTATTTAAGGAGCATTCGGTGAGCCGCGCTCATTCTTAGGCGAGACAACGTACAGAACGGTTGTACGTGACCGAGAACAATATTTCCAGTAATTAAAAACGATCGTTCGTGAGAGTAGTGCTTGTTGTTGATATACGAGCGAGCATCTCATTTAGTGGCTTTTGGTGTAGAGAGACACGAGTGTGAACGAAGCAGAAATCATGGCTGACAGTGGTATCAAGCGCAATATTCCTATCAAGCTCGGTGACTTCAGCGTGATCGACACCGAATTTTCCAACATACGGGAACGCTTCGACGCCGAGATGAGAAAGATGGAGGACGAGATGTCACGGTTCCGTAGCGAGTTGATGAATCGCGAAAGCAATAACTTCTTTAAGAGCACCACCAGGTATGTTGTTACCGAGACGCACCTAACCTTTTAACACGCGTACACCCGGCACGATTTCTCTTCTGTTCGTTCATTCCGATGAATTTCCGAGCTAAGATCCTTTTCAACGTTCTTACGATAATAAATGTTACGCGGCACATGAAATACGAATATTTACGAACGTGACTTTTGATACAAGTGGGAAAATATTTGAAGTACGGATAGATGGAGATAAGATGACTATGGGATCGAAAATTAGCCCAAAAAAGCTATCGTCAAAGAAGATCGTATTAATGTTATCTTAGGTAAAAGTACGACTATTGAAAGGCGTTAAGTTGGATTTAAAACGTACTGGAGTTTTAAGATGAGATATATTTAAAATTTACTCGGATTTGAGTTTACGTCTCGTTTCACGTCGGTTACAGGACCGGTATTTATTTTTCATGGCGTTCTAGAAACTCTTGTTTACATAGTCATCGTATCGAATACAAACGTGCCGTTTCTCCTTCCAGAAGAGCGATCGATATTACGATACATCGTGAACGAAATTCATCGTAGAATAACGGTAAAAGAGAGGAGAGAATCGATGCCTGACGTTATTGAAGTTAATTCGAGTGCCTTAACGCTGCAGAAACAAGAAGCATTAAAACGTCTTTATCCTCGTTTTTGATCTCTTCCGTGTTCGCGATAGATAATGAGTTAAATCGATCGATGCTGCACTTTTCTTGTAAAATGTTATTCTCATTAAAGACATACTCGACAGAATGATCGTCAGTTTAGACGCGTTCGATTCGAGTCGTACGATCGAACGGTCGCAAAGTTGTTTTTCAAGTCGGCCGATAGAATCAATCAATTTTATCGTGGATCGGGTTACGGTAACAACACGATACGATTTCGAATTTAGCCGACCATGAAAACTCATCCGCGTGAGATATAAATTACGAACTCTGATTATATTTATTCGCTACTTTGTTGGAATTGATTCGTGAAAGTCGATGGTTCAGCGTCGAATTAATGGCGAACTCGTAAACCATAAAACATTCAACCCACATTATAAGAGGTGCAACAGCGTGCCAATAGCCGCCATTTAATTTTTTTCCATGGATCGATGTTTGCCCGGTTGCACAACAATGTGTTGATTTTTAGCGCGAATTAGCATAACGCTGTGTTCGCGTTACCTCGTCTACCTGCGCATCTACCTGCTTTTGTTATACAGAGTGGTACAAAAGTAACTTAATCCTAAGTTTTGACGCTCGAAGAAAGATGGCTAGAAAGGATAGATATTATTCTTTGTAAAGTTCTGCTGTATATAGTTCTATATATTCTATATATGTATATGTATATATATATATATATATATAAGTTTCAAAGTTCTGATCGCGTTGCTTTCTGAACATTTCGAAAAGAAATTCACGGAAGGCTTTCGTACGCGAATTTCTCGTTAAGTGGCGAGAAAGCGCGCTGCTTTGACAGTTGTTTGATTCGTACACGTATATTGATTAGCGCGTGATAACGAAACGAAAGCGTAGTGTTGATCGCGGTAAGTGTAAATTAAGGTCGCGTCTCTGCCACTTTTTTTCATCAGTACACACGTACATATGTATATTCGTTTCACGTATTTCAGTAACGTATCCGCTATTTATAGAGGCTTCGTCAGTGCGTTCGCTATGAAGAACGCGCGAGGAGAACCCCCTCGATGTGCCTTTCTTGCTAGGGTATAAACGAAAAACAAACGATCTCGTTGGACGAAAATTTACACCTGGCCTTGGTGTACAGGCTATCCTGAAACGTGCGGAGAGTCGGGTCTCCTGGCACTATGAACGCTTCGTTACGGATGTTTCTCGTTGTTTCTGGTGTATGGCGCGTTTGAAATTCTAATCCCGGTGGAGAGCAACGCTGATTATTTCGAGCGATTGCCTGTCACGATGTTCGCCAAGCAAATATGGGGGAGTTGTTGCTGGAAATTACGATATTTAAATTTAAGGAAAAATTCGAAGAATTATGATAAAATTTGTCCTTGCAAGTGTACGGTAGTAGCGTAATTCGCAATTCGACATGTTTCACGTACAGTTTTCGGGCATCTCGTTGGGAAATTTTTGATATTTTGGTCTATCGGAGAACTAGTCGAATCTTGGGAACATTTACATTGGAATTCACGCGGAATAAATTGCGAATTCGCTGTGGATCGTGCGCCGAATGCGTGCCATGTGCCACAGTTTTTGCATGCCAACACCGCGAAAGCTGACAGTCGTGTTATTTTAATAGAAGGCCTGTTCGATCTTGGATATGCTTGCCCGCTACGCGCTCAACTTACTAATTATAGAAGCATCGTTCTAAATTTATTACCCGACTATTCGAAAATCAACATCTTCTAACATATACGACTCGCGGTAGGAAATCGAATTATTTACCGAATCTGTTACAACGTCTTGACGTTCCTTCTTCTCAAAATACAAAGTAGTCGAACCCTACGTCGAAACACGGGGAAAATGTAACGATAATACAGATGCGTAGGATGGTAAAAAAAAGAAAGCGTGCGAATTATAACGCACGAAGCTGTTCACCGTCGATCACAAATTTTGGAGGGTTCTCGTTAGCCAGCCTGGGTAACGCGTTCTCGCATCCTGTTCGGGGGAAGCCCGATCGACGGAAAATAACCTCGACCAAAATTCTACGGATTCCTCCTTGGCAAATGGGAATTTGGGCCGTTTGCAATTTACCGTGAGTTTCGTCGTTTCTCAGACTTTATCGACGATCTCGCGCGTTTGCGCGAAAACACTTTTCTGCCGGAGCCGATGTACATTTCGTCGAATTACTTGTTTTGACTAACGTTTTACATCCATTTGTTCCTCTCCGGTTCTTTTTTAACTTCTTTGTTTTTCTTCTTCTTTTTTTAAGTTTTTTTTAGGGGCAGTTTCACAAATGCCTTTGAACGAAGAGGCGTGGAATTTTATGCGCTCGTAAAACGAGGAATGGATCGAATAACCTTTTGCTCGCCGTCAAAATGGCATGCCAATGATTTAATTCGAAAAGTGCTTTCGATCGCGTGAGCGTAAAATTAGATTCGATCGGAAGATGAATATACGTACGTACGTACAGTGGTATGTACGTGCCTCGATTGCCTTTGATGCTTTGGACGAGGTGCTTTCACGAGATTGAGCAAGCCAAATAGTCGGGTGTTTCGTAGCGAATTTATTTATTGCCTGTAAATCGTCGTTTTCTACGTTTTTCTCCGTCGTGTACCAGTCCCGACTCGGATCACAAACGTATACGTACGAACGCGTTAAATAGAAATTACACGATATCCAATAACAGCCGATAATATCTGGAAATTGCGTGCAACGATCATTAGCCGATAGCGATTCTACAACGGGCGTTGTAATTAAATCGAACGATGTGACGAGTTTTCGTACGTCGATTATAACGGACGATTATGTAAACGCAGGTCGTGTGTCGGTCGTTAGTCGAAACGATACGTTGCGTAATAGGTGGCTGTTTAACGAGACTCGTCGCACTGACAAAGAACACGCTTCTTCCTGCAATCTCGTTACACGTATATGTAATTTATCGCATCTGATCGCATCGCGTACAAACGTTCTTCTCATTACCGAGAGATACTTTGCGTTTTCGTTTCCTGCATTTCGAAACAACCGATAGTCCGCGTTCGATAACAGCCGCTACCGCGTTACGATCAGCCGAGATATTTGAAATTTCTTCGTGACAGATATTTGCGGAATCTTAACGCGACAACGGCGTGCTTGGAGAACGCTTATGACGCACGTTGACTCCGAGATTCTGTACTTTGTAATTAAAAGGAGTAACGTATCCTCGCGATAATCCAAAGACCATAGCAACACGATCCAATCTCGTGCTCTCTTCGTTTAAAGTTAATCTTAAGTTTAAAGAGTCGTTGAAACGAATCGTTGTTCTTTGGACTTTTAATTTTAAAACAAGCCACGGCAGAGAACAAGAGAAGAAAAAATAAAAACGCGTTGGAAAAGCGTTGTGTTCGTAAGCGCGTAGTTTAACGAATCGTTAGAGCGAGTCGGTGTTGTCCGACCAGCAACTGCCGATCATTAGAGAGGATATAAGCGTCCGTTGCGTCAACGCGCATCCTTGACAGTGACACGGTGCATCGGTGTTCCCCACTCGCAATCGTGTACTAAATTGTAATAGCAGCGCGCGGAAAAGGTGAGGAGCTTACGCTGATCGTACAACGTTTTGCGCAGTAATTTTCTGGTTCCGTGGCAGGCGACACAGCAAATCGTTTCTCTCTACCTTCTCGATCCGATTCGCTGATTCGCGAATCGACGCGGATCACCATGATCGTCGACCGGAATGCGTATCCACCGGATCACAAAACGGTGATTAAACTTCGGTAGGTGACCACGCATAAACGCAGCTTTGCATTTTGACGCCTCTCGTTTGGCTTCTCTCCAGGACTCGTTCGTAAGCGCTCGCGTACTTCCTATGCTTTCGTTTCGAATCTATCGGTTTTCGATACAGCGTACACGAATCGTCGAGGCTTTCGATCGTTCGAGACGTATTTGTCGCATTTTTCATCGGTGGGTCTGTCGTAGGTGCTACGGCAAGGTTGCGATTTACTTCGACAGGCGCTCGTCGTGATTCGGTTTGCAAGTACAATACCTATTAACTGCTATGACCGATCTCGTCGATCGTTTCAAGAGTCATCTTCTTGCGCGCTTTTAAATTTTCGAACGGAAATTCCTTTTGCGTTGTACGAAGCTACCGACGCGTACAACGTTGCCGAATTTCCACGAGTTCCAACGAGTTCCAACGAGTACGAAGTAGGTGTCAGCGACGCGTCGGCGAGCGAACCACGAAAGCATCAGAAATCCATCGGAAGCTTTTAAAATAACGCGGAGAAGGTTGCCCATCAAGGTCTCCGTTGCTCGAACGTTGTAAATCATCGAAGCAACGTGTCGAGAACACGTGGAAGGCGAGCAAGCCGCGCGTTCCTAAAATAGTGGTCGACAATCGCCCGAACCATCCTGTTTCCT